AGTTTAAGATTAATGTTACACTACTATAATTCTTGTGTTTTGTATCGGAAATAGCTTCGGAAATTTAAACTAAATTTGAGGCTATTTTTAATTAGCCTTGGAGTTTGTTTTGGATTGGTACTCGAGACGAAAAATTTGTCGCTATTTTGAATGTATTTGAAATTCCGAGACTATTTTGAATAGTCTCAAAATTTTTGAAACCGAGTCCGAAGCATAAATACCCGCAAGTGTGGAATCAATTTTGATCATTGCTTCAGAATTTCCGATGCAGTTATTAATTTTTTAAAAAAAGTTAATTTTGATAATTGTGCCTGAATTTCCGAGACAATTATTAATTTTTTGTAAAAGAAATTAATTTAAACATTTCTTCAGCAGCCACCGCCTTCGCCGGAAAAGCCGCCTCCGCCGGAGAGGAAGAAGAAGAAGAAGCAGCCACCTCCACCGTCGCCGCCACCGCTGCCGGAGAAGGAGAGGAAGGAGGAGGAGACGACACGGTTGCTGCCGCCAGCCCCGCCACTGCGATGCCGTCGCCGCCGGAGAGAAGGAGGAGGTGGAGAAGACGCTGTTGCCGCCGCCGGCTCCACTGCCACCATTGCCTCCGGATAAGAAGGAGGATGTGGAGAAGACGCCGTTGCTGCCTCCGGCCCCATAGTTTCCGTTGTCGTCACTGCCGGAGAAGAAGGATGAGGAGAAGGAGGAGATGTCCGTTTCCGCCACCGTCCCTGCTGCCATTGCCGCCTCCGGCTCTGCTGTCACCGCCAGACAAGAAGGAAGAAACGGAACAAGCCGTAGGCGCCGCCGGAATTGCTGCCACTGCCATTACCTTCGTCACTGGAGAAGAGGACGGAGGAGGGGAGAGGAGGAAAAGAAGAATTTAGGAGTAGAAGAAGAAATGAAGGAAGAGAGAGGGTTTTGGAGGGAATAAATTATTTTGAATTTGTGGGGGAAAGAAGAATGGAAGAAATAGAATTGGAAAAGAAGAAGATGGGGAAGAAATTGGTACGACTATTGTGCAGTGGATGTTTGAGTTTATTTATTTATTTTTTATAATAATACTATATTTATAATTGAAATTATTATATATTATTGTTCTAAAAATAAAAAATCTATTACTATTAAATAAAAATAATAATTATTAATAATATAAAATAATAATATAATATTATTTGTATCTTTGTATTTTAAATTTTAATAAATTTTGTTATAATTATACTATTTACTTTAAATTATTTTAGGGTAAATGTGTTTTTTGTCAAAATTTATTTATATTTATGTCAATTTTAATATCCTATTATTAAAATTTTTATTAAGGACTAAAATTGAATTAATGTAACGAAAAGGGACCAAAATTATTATTTTAATTAAAAATAGGTGGACTAAAATTGACACATTAATAAATAAAATTGACCAAAACGATATTTTATACATTATTTTATTATTTCATACATCAATATTTTATAATTTTTTTTAATTTAAAATTTATTTTCATTACTTATTAAATTTATTATTTTCATTATTTTTATACTGCAAAAATTTAATCAATTATTATATATGCATTTTTTACACGATAAATGAATTATACATATATATATATATCTAAATAAAATCAAAATTAAAATTACTTAATTAATAGTGTGGGAATTAAATATTTGATAGTTTCAAAAAATTTCGAGAATAATTAAAATAAATTTAGAAGTTTCGAGACTAATAAAAGTTTGGAATTTCCAAGACTAAGATTTTTAATTAGTTCGGAAGTTCCAAGATAAATTACAATAGCTTTGGATTTTCTGAGACTATTCCGAGATTAATAAGGGTTTCGAAATTTCCGAGACTAAGAAAGGTTCAACTCGAGACAAACTAGAATAGGTTCGGAAGTTTCAAGACAAATTAAAATAGATTCAGAATTTTCGAGACTAAGAAATGTTCAGAATTTTTTTAGACTAATTAAAATAGATTCGGAAGTTCCGAGACTAATAAAAGTCTCAATTTTCGAGACTAATGTAAATAGGTGAGGAAGTACTGAGACTAATTAAAATAGATATAGAAGTTCCGAAACTAAAAACCTCAAAATTTCTGAGACTATTTGAAATAAGTTCGAAATTTTCGAGACTAATCTAAATACGTTTGAAAATTTCGAAACCATTCAATATAATAAAATATATATTTAATATAGTTTCGAAAAATCCCAAATTATTTTAAATAGTCTCAGAAATTCAGAGGCAAAAAAAATAATTTATTAAATATTTATTATATATGTATATTTATAGTTTCGGAATTGATTCCGAGACAATTTTCGACGCTAATAAAGGAAACTCTGGTAGTGTTAGTATTTTCAACACACACTTCAACAAGTGTGTGTTGAGATGGAAGAGTTAATAAAGAGAAAATAATTGATTTTCTTAATAGTTGTTTTGAAAACATGAATAAATTAGTTGCCTTGTAATCATGAGAGCACGTAGATAAAATTGTAAAAGAGACACTTTTGTTCTGAGCAGCGCGTGCTTCCACTTTTACAGTGTTATTTGGCATGTTGGTGTTAACAAGAGCTTTAACAACTTTTATTTTATTTGGTCTAATGCTGAACTAAAGACATGAAATCCTTATCAATTAATTTTTAACAAGTTTTTCATTTTCTTCTTTCTTTGATAGACGAGCAATAGTTACCTTTTCGATTCATAGTTTTCATCGAGGAGCCGTATGAGGTGAAAATCTCATGTACGGTTACGATGTGCTTTGTGATATGTGTCCATGACTGCATGTTACCTAATTTTGGGACGATCATGGAAATTTGATAGGTGTGTTTGTATAACGAAGGTCGTAAGAAGCTAAGCATTTCCACTCTTCTACTCGATATCGTCCATCATGATACTGAAAATGTACATAGGACTATGCGAGATATGGTAAAATAAAAAAGGGCTTTCGTTACAGCTTCGCGAAACCTTCCGAGAGAGATGACAAAGATGTTGCTTTGTCTTAAGGAGATCAACAAAGAGATTCTCCTAAACAATAGCTAAGATGATGAGAGTTATTTCTATATTCTTAAAGATGTCTTTGTTAGTAATGTTGACCCATTTTTCACTTGTCTTTCTTAACTGTAGACTTACTTAGAGAGTACGAGGATATCTTTTCAGATAATATACCATCTGGTCCGCCACGATTACAAGATATTGAACACTACGTTGATTTTATCCCCGGTGCATCGATTCTCAATAGAACGGCTTATAGATATAATTTGAAAGAAAGTGAGGAAATTTAAAGACAATCTAAGAGTTTCTTATAAAGGATAGGTTCGAGAATCCTTGTCCTCTTGTGCGGTACCTGTTCTACTTGTTCCTAAAAAAGATAATGCATGGCATATGTGTGTTTATTGCAGGGCTATTAAAATAATACCATGAAGTACCGGCATCCAATTCTTCGATTCGATGATATGTTTGACAAGTTACATGGAGTACGATTGTTTATGAAAATTAACTTAAAAAGTGAATGCCATCAGATTTATATACAACCCAGAGACGAGTGGAAAATAACCTATAAAACCAAATTCAGTTTATATGAATGGCTAGTCATGTCATTCGGGCTAACAAACGCACCCAACACCTTCATGCGTTTGATGAAACACACGTTGAGAGAATTTATCGAAAAGTTTGCGATAGTTTACTTTGATGACATACTCATCTTTGGTTGGTATTTGAAGGATCATCTTGAACATGTTAGACAAGTTTTGATGCTTTAAGAATTACTAAATTGTATGGTACTTTACATAAATACATATATGCACTAAGGAGGTTATTTTCCTTGTTTTGTTGTAGATGTAGATGCCTTTAAGGTTGATGAAGCTAAGGTTACTGCAATTTGAGAATGGAAAATTCTTTAGGCGATTCATACCACACTTTAGTGTGATAGCAGCCCCATTGACCTCCACTTTTTAAGAAGAATGTTCAATTTAAGTGAGAGGCAAGTCATGTAGCATTCTTTGAGAAACTTAATAATTTGGCACATATTTCGGTTTTGGCATTGCCCGATTTTGAGCGAGCTTTTGATGTCCAATGTGATGCTAGTGGAGTTAGTATATGTGCAGTAATATTGCAAGAAGAATAAACAGTTGTTTATTATAGTGAGAAATTCCATAGAGCGGCCTCAACTACTCAATATATAATAAAGAATTAATATGTGGTGGTGCAAGCTTTGAGAGTTTGGCAACACTACTTGCTGGCAAAGGAATTCGTAATTCTTCCGATCATGAGACTCTCAAGCATTTGCGCAAGCAACAATAACTTAGTCGATGTCATGCAAGGTGGGTAAGCTTGTAATTTCCTTATGCGATAAAATATAAACAAGGCAAGGAAAACGTAGTCGTACGCATTTGGTTGGTTTTGCTCATATTTGTCAATTGTATAATCATGATGTAGATTTTGGAGATATATTTAGGAGTTTTTGAGAAGCATCATTTTAATGATTACGTATAAGCATGATGACTATTTGTTTTGTGTGATAAATTGTGCATTCTTAGATGTAGCATTAGAGATGTTTTGATTGATGAGAGTCATGATAGTTATATGCTTGGACATTTTAGTAGACATGCTACTTTTGATGTGCTTAGCGTTCACTTTTATTGGCCTTATATGCGTAACCATGTTGACTCTTTTCTTGATAAGTATTTTACATGTAAAGTGGCGAAGAGTAGTTTGAATACTCATGGTATGTATACTCCTCTTCCCACTTTGGACGGTTCTTGGTTAGATACTTTTATGGATTTTGTTTTGGTTTACCTCGGACACCGCGTGCTAAACATTCATTTTTTGTTGTGGTTGATAGATTTTCTAAGATGAGAGTCATATGGCGAAATTATTCTTTTGGAAAGTTGTGAAATTGAATGGAGTTTCAAAAACCGTATTGGACTGGGATGTGAAGTTTGAATCTTATTTTTAGAGAAGTCTTTGACATGAAATTGGAACGCACCAACTTTTCTCTACCACGTGTAACTCCCAGATATATGGTCAAACAAAGACGGTCAATCGCACCTTGGGTAATCTTCAATATGCCATGATACATTATAATGGTCGAACATGGGATAAATGCCTACCATATATTAATTTTTGTATAATAGACATGCTAGTTCTACTACTCAATTGTCCCCATTTGAGGCTATTTACAGATTTAACACTAATCCCTACCTATTTATTGCCACTAGCTAGTAGCGAACATTTGAATTTTAGTGGCAGAGATCGAGCTAGATCAATCAATGAATTATATGCCAAGGTACTAGAATTAATCCAGTCGCATTGCATGGCAAGTATTAAAATTCTATATACGCAGCAGGTAGGTTTCAATGATTGGAACGAAACTAAACTAAACTAACAGTGGGTATAGATGAATTGGCGGATCTCGGAAATGAGGTCAGTTGATTGAGGTAGCTCAGGGAATATGTAGAAGGCATGAATCATGTCTGGGAACTCCACTAGATACGCTTTTTTGCCAGACTTCTTGAGATATTCATAGTACCTTAGCTGCCAGTCCTTGAGGGAGTCGAAGCCCCCGACCACGACCATAGCCGCCGGGAAATCCTCGAGCTTCGATATGTCGGGAGCACGGGGCCCACTCACATTGATAACCTCGTGGTCGCGGTCCCATTTATCTTCCAACGGCATGAATGCTTTCCACATCCAGTCCGTCCTCTCCGTCGACACTACGGCGTCTACACCCGCCAATTCTATCTCTGACCTTGTCCGTTCCTGCCCTCCGAAAAAGGGCTGTATGGCCACCACTCCCATTACCTATTCAATCCGATCAATAATATATATATATATATATATAAATTTTATCAGTCACCACAAAATATATATACATACACATTTATTGCTACATTTGTTCTATATAATTTGTGCACTATTTCCATTTCGATTAGTCCTACATAATAAATTATTTTATTTGTTTAAAATATAATTATACATTTTAATCATATTTTAAAAATTTATAATTTTTTATTTTAATTATTTTAATTTATAATAATTTTATTAAATTATAATTATTTTTACTAAAATACTTATTAACTACTTAATAATTATATTATTTTATTAAATTATATTTATTTTTACTAATACAATCCATAATTAGTGTAATAATTACTTACAAATTCGTGTGCCATCTAATATGACAAATTAGGTGGACAGATTCACTACAGCGTCTACATCCACAACCACACTCAAACTTAATTGACTGCTTGCTATCTGTCCCTGTCAAATCAAATCAAATCTTTGAATTCAGTCTTCTGATTAACAGTTCCTATCTATCTATCTATCTATCTATCTATTTATATATCAAATTAACCAAAGCTTTATGATTGACTGGTTAAATAAACACAAGTGATTTGTGAGTGCGAGTGCGAGTGCGAGTGTATGTATAGTATTATTATATAATCAAATAGTGTGGAGCCTAGTCCAGTGTTGTGTAGTGTGTGTTGGCAGTTGAGTTATGAATGGGAAAGGGAATGGGAATGGGAATGGGAACGGGAACGGGAATGGGCTTGCCTTGAGGCGATTGAATTCTGACTGGCAAGCACGTTTAGCCACATGGTGGGCCAGATTCCCTCCGGCGCTGTCTCCGGCCAGAAAGCACTGTGAAATATCTGCATTCTCCGGCAGGACGTCGCTCCGGTCGTCGAGGAATTTGAGAACGTCGAATCCGTCGTCGTACTGAGCCGGATACCGATGCTCTGGCGCGAGACGGTAGTTCACGGAGACAACCACGGCCCGGATCTCTCGTGCGAAGCGACGGCAGACGTTGTCGTAAGCCTTGAAATCGGGGGCGAGATAGACGAACCCGCCGCCGTGGAAGAAGACAACCACGGGGAGGCGAGGAGGATCATCGTTTGGGGAAGGAAGGAAGATCCGGAACCAGAGGTTCCGAGAAGGATCGATGGTGAGATCGGAGGTGGTGACGCCGTTGCGCGGCTTGGGGTCGGGAGGCGTCTTGAAGCTGCACAATTCTATCACGTCAAAGAGGCGGCGGTTGACGGTTCCGTCGGTGCGGCGGGCGGCGTCGTTGATGGCGCTGAGGAAGAATAGACTCAGACGTGTCTTCCAGGGGAGCACCGGCAGCCGCTGCACTCCTACTTGATGGTTAGGTGGTTTATTGGCGGTGGTGAGTTGGGAATCCATTTGCCTGTAATGTAATGTGATGTATAATTTCTTTTCTTTTCTTTTGTTTTGAGGAGCAGTGCAAAATGTGAGAGTAGCAAATAAGAAAAAGTTCGCTGCACACACACACACTGTAATTGTCTGTTACATCCACTCAATGCCTGCCTATACTAACAAGATGCTTTCTTAATAAATAAAAGAAAAAAAGTAAAAAAGGGGAAAATCAAATCAGATAGGGATGGATACCCAAAATGGTCAAAATTCATGTATGTATATACAAATACATTGATGAGGAGGCCGAAAGTGGACATTAATTGGAGCAGTTGAGTTGAGAGAAGAGAGCAGGGCAGGTAGCAAAACAATGCCATTCATTACTGAATTTCATCACGTACAGCTCAGCTAGCGGCGCCATTAATCAGTTTCATTTCGTAGTTGTGCAACACTATTCACCTGGACTCTCCAATATGCTCCAATGCAATGCAAAACATGGGCTTTTGGCATTTTTCATCGTAATGGTTTTTCCGCGATTTAAGGGGAGTTGATGTTACAATTAAAGCACGCAAAATGTATTTAGTATATATTTCATAGCGAGTGATGCATATCTGCGCTTCAATCAAATTTTATTTGGTGTACATGAAATATACATGTTATAGGTACACAACACTTTAGACTACAGAGATTCGAAATAGCCAACAAACATATAAATTAACATTAGAAAAATCCAATGCTCTGAGAGGCACTAGGTAAATCAAAACATTACATACCAAATACATGAAACTATAGTAAAACTAGATCGATACAACCATAAGAAATAAGAAACAATTTCAGTCATCACTAGTAGTGCTTTTCTTAAGCCTTGTACACCACATTATATCGACACACCAGAGATTCATAACTAATCAAATGGGTAACTTGTGGAAGAGAGAGATGTGAAAGAACAACAACAACAAACAATGTAAGTAATAAATAAACAATGTGAGACGAAGGAATACTGGTACGCGACCGGTGAGAGGGCTAGAGAATTGAAAACATAATGTTGTAGTCTAATTGACTACTTGAAAGGTGTGGAGTGTGAGAGATGAAGTGAGGCAAAGTGAGATTGATTAGCATAGTGATATTTGAAGAGAGGATGAAGACGAAGGAAAGGTTGCGTGAATGCATAGAAAAAAGTAGCCTTAAGAGGGTTTTATACTCCGCAATAAATGGATTGATGCCCATCAATTTATTTTCGGCTCGAAGATCACATTACAAAATATCAGTCCAATAGATAACATGCCTGGAGATTCAGACCCAAGTCACAATTTTAATATTTTCCCTCAATCAAATTTCCACGTTCAACAATCTAGAAATGATCAAACAAATTGTTAAGTTTGCACCAGTGAGAAGGGGTTTTACTATCAAGACTCTTGGTTTGAAGATTTGTACATTGATTTACAGAAGTAACAAATTTAATTGCAACAATTCATTTAGTAATATAGTCTCTTACCATATGACAATCAATTTCAATATGTTTGCTTTGCTCATAAAATACAAAGTTAGTAGCGATTTAGAATGCACCTGTATTATTGCAATAAAGACTTACCGAACTAATATGAGTAATACATAGATCCTAAAGTATTCTAAGAATCCAAAAACCTATTACAAACTTTTTAAAGATTGAACAAGAAGTCCGGTCGGTCAGAATCACAATAATCTTTGAGATGAAAATTTTCAATGGTAGAAAAAATAAATCTTGACTGGGTGAATTTTTTAGATATTTCAACACTTTTAAAATAATATATAGATGTAACTTCTTGAGTTTCTGCATAAATTGCTTAAGGGCTTGCACAATAAACACAATATCATAACATGATATGGTTAACTAAATCAATTTTTCATTAATTTATTGGTATACCACATAATTATTAATTAAGGGACATCTTCAGTTGTGGTAGGTATTGTACCATTGGAATGAGAATAAGTTTGCACCCAAAGGCCCAAATTTAAACAAAAATTCAATAGTATATTTTCTTTAGAAAAGACAAGCCTACTATTAACCTATAAAGCTTCAATCCCTAAGAAATTGTGAATGGACATCAAATTTTCTATTTTGAAATTTTCATCTAAACATTTCTTATTTTGAAACTTTGCTTAGTATTATTACTTGTCAACAGTTTGTCATCAACACAAAGGTCACCATATAAACAAGATATTATTGAAAATCTAATTAGTAAAATTTCCCCCTACGAGTAACAATAATAAATAAAATTAATATAACAATGACCATCTTAACAACAAGAGTGAATGTTTCATGAAGGTTTAACTCCCTCTCTTTGGATAAAACTTTTGGAAACAAGGTGAGCCTTATAGCATTAGGTTGGGCCTCGAAATTATTTGGTTTTTGTAGGTTGGGCCAGGGTAAGATAGATTGGGTCTTGGCGGATTTGAGCTCTTTGGGTCTGTCTCTTGGGCCTGCTGATAACTTGTTTGGTGGATTAAGGATTCAGATGGATTAAAATTGTTTGGATCTTGACTTATAACAATTGAACATATATAGAATTCAAGAAAATAATATTGTTGTAGACCCTAAGATATTGTATCATAGTTGATTTTATACTATTTTTACTGATGAGTTTTCAGGTCGAGCACAAAGATTTTAAGTCATAAAATGTAAACTCAAGAAAACACTTATTGAGTCTGGTTGATTGGAAAATCAGTAAATTGGCTCGCTGGAAAGTGAGCCAAAAGCTGTAACTGACAAAAGGATAAGGAAAACAGTAAAGGTGGGCGGTCAATGGTGATAAGCGGATTGATGGCTTGCAAGCGGAAAATGCAGTGAGAGCGGAGATGAGTGAAATGGTAGTGAATGTTGGTGAGATAGATATACATATATACATATACATATGTGTGAAGGTTTGCGACCGGTGACTGATAGTGATAGTGGGAAGTGAGCGGTAATATATCAGCGGGAAGGGTGTACAAAGATATTTGTGTGTGATCTGTGCGTTATTTAATGGCTAGACTTCCATGGATGAAATGAGCATATGATATAGGTGAATCAACGGAACATATACATATATTACAAAGTGATAAAAGAAATGTGTGTGATCATCTTTGTTCATTTAACTTAGATTTTTGACTCGTTGGTATTTGACCTTAAGGGATTTACAACAAAGCTTCAATGACACTCATATTCAGAATATTATAATCAAGAAAAATTAGTGTCACTAAACATTTTTTAGACCCGATAGACAAGCGCCTATGTCCAATTAACCGTTCTAAAATCTATATCATTAGTAGATTTACCCTTCAGATACCCCTCTTTAAACAAAATTGAATTGAAAATAGTAATTAAGCAAGTCGATAAGGCTCCCCCGTACTTAACTATCATGAACCACCTAAAATATGTTAATGAATATGACGTAAAATTAGGCTTAGATAATCAATTATTCTTAAGAACTTCCACAACTTGTCAATATTCATGAATTAAACAATCAAATATAAACATGAGTTCGGGGATGGAAAAGAAGATGTAGAATTCTTGACATACCATTAAAAAATACAAAAAATAGTAAATTTACATTATGAAAATAGTAAATGAAAGCAGTAACAAAACAATAATTCTGTTTAAAAAAGTACTAACTGGGTGGTCAGGGGAGGAGAGAATCTCCACTCCCCCGACCTCTACTAACTAAGAGAACTCCCTTATAGGATTAGAGCTCTCAGAAATTGAATAGAATATTTGCTAAGAAAACACTGTAATGTAATCTAGTTTACAAAAAAAATCTGTCCCTATTTATAGATTTTTTAGATCAGCAGTTGAGAGCAATTGAGCGGTTGTAGAGCAACAATTGAGAGCAGTTTAAAGACTGTTGCAACCGCTGAGCAGTTAGGCGGTTGGGCGGTTGATCAGTTGGAACTGCCTTAACTCCTAGCTTGTTCGTTTGGCTGGTCTGGTTTAGCTAGGGCACACATCTTCCTCGCTTGTCTTTCTTGGCTGGAGGGCATCGACACAACTTAAGCGGTGCTATCGTCACTGCATGGTATCTAAATGGCTAACCGTTGGGAGATCAACACTTGGATAATTTTTTAGAGAACTTTGGGATCTCGCTGGTCAGCAGTGGATGTCTCTCTACTTGTTTGGACGCAAGCGGAAAGAGCATCTCTTGCCAAAACTGGGTGCACCCTCGCTTGTCTTCCATACTTAATCATTTTCTGAGTCAGAATATCGCTTAAAAGGCTTAAAAAAATCAATTATCTTTACTAGTGGACTTTGAATCATATCAAGCGAAATAAATCAATAAATGTGCTGTAAAAAAAATATTGTGATGGTTTTCACATAAAAATTTAAAAAATACAGAGTTTTATCAAGTAGTAAAATGTTATTATTTGAAGTTATAAACCTCCTCACACTAAAATTTGTTCATCATCGAACAAACTCAATTACATGAATAGAGAGTTAACCCGTTCAAGGTAGTCAAGTATTGATAAGATCAATGTCATGGTTGTGAATAAAGTTAATCTCAAATATAAGCAATTGCCCTTAAGCATTCAAAACTTGTCAATCTGATTTAACATGACTTCTATCCAGATATAATCAACTTTGTTTGCTTGGAAGGGAATTTTTTTTATAAGGTGACCTTCAGCCGAAAGATGCAGAATTTTATTTTATTTTTACATTGCTCATTATATTTCGTGATGGATCACAGGATTTCAAATATTGTGTCTGCTCGTGATCTTATTTATTTTTTTAATCGCAGCCACAGACTTTTTAGTCTCTTTAATAATAAATCCTCCCACTCATCTTGCATTGCTTTTTAAATCATATTTAAAGACTTCTTACTTCAATGTCATCTCATATAAACTAAGTCGATAGACAAAACTCTACTGCCCTATTGAGTATAGAATTATTGAAATGAATAGGACAATAACCTTTTCAAGTCATATCAACGGGTTCTTGGATTAACTCAATATTCACATTATTGAATAAGGTAAAAGAAAAATTACTAACTTTATCACTTGCAAGTGATCTAACTTTACTCTAAAATATATCAAAAGCCTAACTCAACGATGTATTAAAATAATTTAAAGTAATTACACATGCTTGCAATTATACTACGCATACAATATTGATAAATTCAACTTGTTACTAAAATCTATCGTGTCAATGATCATAAAATTTTTTTGTACAAGCTCGCCATTCCTTCAAAAATATCAAAAGTAAGTGGAAAAGGACTTTCGCTTGCTATTCCTTTCTAATCATCTGAGATCCCACGTCCCAATTTTCCAAATCCATCCCGAAGCCGCTGCAATTTTTCATCAATAATTTTTTTGATACTGGACCATATCCAAGTGCCGTTCCATCAAAATGGCATTCTAGCCAGTCAACGCTGCGTTGCTTTGATCAAATCATTATGTCCATGCATCATGTTTTCCAGCATCTGCC